AACCTACCCACTTCCCACGACCTACTCCTCCAACCAACCTCAGTCACGCACAAAGATGGTCATACCCCTGATTTTGCCATGACCCACAAATGCGCCACCTCCATGTTCAAGAATTCCAAAATATCCTTATCTGACCATAATCTATTGGCTATCCACCCCTCTTTCTGCCTTTCCTTACCAAACCCTACTCTTTTTTGACACAGTGACCTTCAATCCCTCAACCCCCCAGTTCTTTCCCAAGACATCTCCCCTGCACTTGCCACTCTCTCCTCTTTTCCCCATCCAGAACCCCTGGTGAATTAGTTCAACTGTACACTGTCATTTTCTCTTGAATCCCTAGACCTTTACTATATTACCAATTGCACAGTGTCTTGTCTTGGATCACTCCCACAATCCAGACACCTTCTCTCCTATAGAAGCTGTGCTGAACGAAGGTGGAAATAAAATCACACAGCCATTATGATCGAATTGAATTGAACAAAATTACGTGATACAACTTCATCTGGGCCCTCACTGGTGCTAGGCAATCATAACTATACCTCCCTTATCAACTCACTATCCTACTCTCTATAGCTGCTCTTCTAAATTTTTTCATCTCTCCTCAAATCTCCAATGGCTTCCCTTCCCCCAACTCTCTCAGCTGAAAAACTTGCCCCATATTGTACAGAAATAATTGAGACCATTTGCTGTAAGCTCCTTCTCCCTTCTTCCTCATCTCTCTCCCTCAGATGCCTTCTGTCATTTTATCCCCTTTCACCCAACTTATATGATGAAGTGGCCTTACTCCTTACCAAGACAAATTCCTCTTCCTGCACAAGTGATCCCACTCCATTATGTTTTCTCCAAAAGACTGCCCCCTTTGTCATCCCCACTCTCTCACTTATCTTCAATTTCTTCCTGTCTACTGGCTCCTTCCCTATGAACTTCAAAAGAGAAAATGTCTCCCTCCATCCTCAAAAAACCGTCACTTGATCTATCCTCACTATCATCCTATATCTCTTCTGTTCTTGTGGACTAAACTCCTAGAAGTGCCTCCACTTTTCCTCCTCTTACTTTCCTCTTAACCCTGGCTTCTGACCTTATCCTTCCACCAAAAACTGCTCTCTCCAAAATGACCAATGATCTCTTAAGTTGTCAAATCCAATGGCCTTTTCTTAATCCTCATTCTCCTCGACCTCTCTGCTGCCTTTGACACTGTTGATCACCCTCCCTTCCATCTAGGTTTTTAGGAAACCATTCTCTCCTGCTTTTCCTCCTACCTATCAGAATGCTCTTTCTGTCTTTTTTGCTAGATCCTCATCCAGGTAATACCCTCTAATCATAGGTGTTCCAGAGGGTTCTGTCCCAGGACAGGTCTATTCTCTTCTCAGTCTAAACTACTTCACTGGGTCATCTCCACTTCTATGCTGATGATTCTAAAATCTACCTGTCCTGCCCCAAACTCTTTGCTGACCTCCAATCTTGAATCTCAAACTCCATGTCTAGTAGACATCTTAACCCACCATGTCTAAAACTGAACTCGTTATCTTTCCCCCTAAATCAGGTTTCCAAACTTATTTGGCCTACTGCCTTCTTTAAAAAAAATTACTCAGTGCCCCCCTGGAAATCTACTTTCTTTAATCCTTTGATAGCTTTTTTAAAAATTTCTGTTTTTTCAAACTACTAGCATCCCCACCCAATTGCTCCAGTGCCCCACCAGGGGGCGATCCCACTTTGTGAACCTATGCCTAAATCATTACCCCCTAACTTCTGTATCACTGTTGAGGGCAACACCATTCTCCTAGTACCTCAGGCTTCAAACCTGGAAGTCTTCCTCACCTCTTATCTTTCACCCTCATATCCAAGCTGTTGCAAGGCCTATCAATTTCACCTTTGCAAGATTTCTCCAAAACACCCTCTCCTGTCTTCTCCTCTGAAACTGCCTCCACTCTGGTTCAGGTCCTCAACACCTCATGCCTAGACCACTGGAATAGCCTGCTTCAGGGTCTGACTGTCTCAAGTTTCTCCACTCTAATCCATCCTTCATTCAGCCACCAAAGTGATTTTTCTAAAGTACGAGTTTGACCACATCACCTCTACTCAATATCTACCTCTAGTATTACATCACATCTACTCAATAAACTCCAGTAGTTCCCTACCTTCTCCAGGATCAAATACAAATCCTCTGTTTGGCATTCAAAATCCTTCATGACCTAGACCTTTCTACCTTTCCAATCTTCTGATAATTTAACTAACGTGGCAGGGGCCACATACTCTTTGATCCAGCAACAGTAGCCTCCTGGCTGTTTCAGGAACAAGACACTCACCTCTCAGCTCTGGGCATTTTCTCTGGTGGTCTACATGCCTGGAATCCTTTCCTCCCTTATCCCTGTCTACTGCTTTTCCTGTTTTCCTTTATGTCTCAACTAAAAGCCCATTTTCTACAGGAAGCTCTCCCCAACCCTTCTGAACTGTATTGCTGTCCCTCTTTTAATTATTTCCTTATTTACCCGGTATACAGCTTGTTTGTACATATTTGTTTGTTTGTTGTCTCCCCCATTAGAATGTGAGCTCCTTGAGGGCAAGGAATATCTTTTGCCTCTTTGAATCTCTAGAGCTTAGCACAGTGCCTGGCACATAGTAGGTGCCTAATGTTTACTGACTGACCAACTCTTCACAAAAAAAGAATGGGGACTTCATATTGTCATAGACCAATACAAACCTATATTCCTGGAGAATAATGTAGCCTCCCTGGGCCCAAGATTCCTCTTCTGTAAAATCACAAAATTAAGAAAGTTGGTTAAGCTAATTAGATCACTTACAGCTTTAATATTCCGTGACCATGATTTACAAATAGCTTCATTACCCAATTCTCAAAAGTTAATTCAGTATAAGTAATGCAATGTTCAGTCAGCTTTTTAAAATGGTTTTTTGATACATTTATTAGCATTCCTTTGAACAGTTTTAGATTAAAATCCTAAAGAAGAATGACAATGCCTGTGACTTTTATTTTTAGGATACCCTTAAACATTTAACAATTATTGTTGCTACTGAAAAGATCTGCCTCCGAGAAATCTCAAATGATTAAAGTACTGCTACTGATGGTGTTATTACTAAGTGGCATAATTTTTAAGCAAAAAAGATTAGAAAAAAAAACCTTAATTAACTTATTCGTAATGGATTTCCATTTAAAAAATCAGTTTACATATATAATGCACATATATTTACATCATTCATAACAGAATTATTTAAATAATTTCCCCCTGAAGCCCGGGATCCTATCTGATACCCTAAAGCTAGAAATGTGACAATAACAGGACAAAGCTTTTGTGAAACTAAGACAGCCACTATAATCCTAAAAGAGTATATATTAAAAAAAAGTAAAAAAAAAGAGTATATAACTTACAAGGAGGCGTTGTTTAGAATCTCTGTTAAAATGCATCTGCTTTGGAAACCTTTAAAACAAGTGCCTGTATACAAAGTATATATATAGTGCCTTAGAGTCTACTGTAAGGAAATAATATATCAATAATATATTGTCACAGGAATTCATTTTTTTAGACTTTAATTTTAATTCCCACTTCCTCTAAAATCTCTCTGGACAGCATCTACAGACAATCCATCATTTCATCACAGCTTTTCTTCACAAATATTGGCTCAGATTTCTTTTCCTATATCAATATGATGTGCTGTAGGTCTGCCACCATTAACACACTGCTGAATACTTTCCCACAATATAACATAACGAATTTTAATAGCTTTTATTGTTTCCATTTTTACTTTGCGATTCTATTACGTACACACTTCCTTGCAAATCCATCATTCTAGGTTTTCAAAGCCTCTGTACTTTATTTCTGAAGCACTGCATTCACTGAATCACCACAAAAACTACTTTAGAAGCATAGATTTTTTCATAACTACCAAAAATAAATCAATAATTCGAAGCATTCAGGTCCTCTTCACATCCCCCTCCCAAGCAATTCTTGCCCTAAGGCTTCTTACTTTTGGGCAGTGGAAGGAATTAGTCCAAGGACCTTAATTACAGGTTTCAGCCTTGAAGATTAACTATAATGCTGAAAATTTTCCAGCCCAAAGACTATTTCACCAATTTTCTCTTTTCTCACACTGGACTAGGGTATACTGCTTGTAGTAAAATAGCTGCCACTGGGCATCCTAACACTCAGCTATTTGTAGGTCTTTCCTTGCACAGGAAGTACGATCAACAAAACCCCAGCCAAACTGCACAAATGCTAAACGAAGCGAATTACCAGCCTAGCCTTGTTCGGCGACACAGTGGTCACCCAACGAAATGTGTCTGACAAATATAGTTCTGTATCCGATGACTCAAAAACTCGGGCTGTGGTAAGATCCCTCTGTAACTACAGACCATTCATTAAGCCACCGTCCTTTGACCTCTATCATTCTGAACAAAAGAGAATTAGTGCCTCCACCACCCGCTCCGAAATTACTTTTCCCACATCCTTTATTTCCCCTTTCCCCTCCTTTGGGGCTCCATAATTTCTCCAAACAGCTTCTGGCTCTCTTCCTCTCCTAAATCTTTTCCTTATTCATCACCTTGGCGAAATGCACGAGCTAGACTTTTCCACACTGGGCAAATCCCTTTTAAAAAGGGAGCCGGCCCTGGGCAGGTCGACTTGGCCCGTAGCCCCAGCCCCCCAGCAGCCTCCTCTGCTTACGCCCCCCACGCAGATCCTCTCCTCCAGCCCCCGTTTTTCAGCCCTGCCCCACCCTACCCGACATCTCTTCCAGAATGACAACCTCCCTTCTCTGGTCCCCTCCTCCCAGTCTATTGGATGGGGGAGGGGAAAACCACAAATAAGGATCCCTTCTGGTCCCCCCCGCTCCAGGAGTCGGGGGGAGGGAGCGGACACCCCCTTCCACCATTTCCGTCTCCCCTCCCCCCGGTCGGGGGCGTCCCTATTGTCTCGCACGTTGCCCGGTTTGGTCGGTCCCCACGCGCGCCCCCCGACCCCGGTCCGCAACACCGGAGCCCCTCTCACCTCCTCCTCGCTCTCGTTGCGGAAGCACAGACACGCGGCCCGCTTCTTGTAGCCATCACCATCGTAGGTCCGGGTCTGGTTCGACTTGAGCTTCATCATCGTCCGGGCCCGGGGTCGCGGGGGCAGGGCGCGGAGGGAGAGGCCGCCGGGGGAAGGGTCCGGACCGGGTCCCGGTCGGGGTCTGGAGGCCGCTCCGGGGCCGGTCCCAGGCGCGCGCACGCCGGGAGGGAGGAGGGGAAGGAGCCGCTTCTCCGCTACACGGCTCTGCCGCTGGCCCGCCTCGGCCGCCTCATTCCTCCCGCTCCAGACTCCTCGTCGTCGTCGTCGCCGCCGCCGCCGCTGCCGCCGTCACGGCTGCTGCCACCGCCACCTCCGCCGCCGCTGCCGCTCGCTTCACGGCCGCCGCTGCCACCGCCCCCTCCGCCAGCGCCGCCGCCACCGACGACGACCAGGCCGCCATCTTGGGGGCGAGCTGCGTCAGGGGCGTAAGGCTACGCGGAGCGACGAAGCTGCTCCCGCGCTCTCGGCGCAAGTAGCTTTCGGGAATCGTTCCCTCCCCAGCGAGCGCAGCTCGAGCCCTTGCGCCAACCGCGCGGGCGTAAACGGGCGTCTGGGATGGGGCTGGCCCTCGTCGGAGGGGCTGGGGGCGGGGAGTCTGGGGGTGGCCTCTACGCTAGTAGCGCAGCTGGGCCGCCGGTATACGGCGGGTGTGGCAGGCCTAGGCACCCTAGAAGAATAAAGGAAGCCAGAGCAAAGAGCTGGAGCTCGGGTTCAGCGCTACGTCATCGGCGGAGCTGAACAGCCGTGATGTTCTTCCCGGGGCAGGTGGGGGATGCCCCGTTCTTGTGCTGGGGATCCTAGCTTGGAACTTCGGGAATAGGATGAGTCAGGAAGGGGTCGTCCATTCAAAAGAACAAATATTTATCTCTCTAGTCTCGTAAAATCTAGGGAAATTGCTTTTGCTTCATATAAATGGGCGATGGGGTGGTTCTGCAGAACAGGGCACGTGCTAGGAAGAGTCTAAAACAGCAATACCGCTGGCAGCAATGAAGTTTAGGACAGCATTCCACCCTCCCACCATGATCCCCATCTCCCAAACATCCTTCCCCCTAGTCATAAAGAAAAAAAATGCAGCAAAATACTCCCGAGAAATGTAAAACAGCATCACCTTGTTCCTTGAGCCATCTCCTCCCACTTTTGGTGGATTTACTCAGTTGGGCATCCGTGCCTTTTAGCAACTTGCCATCCCCATCCTTCATCCCCCAGGGACTGTCTGGTTGCATTGGCAGGTTGTGGGAAGAGGGAGGGAATCTGGAGTCAGTCACTTGCAATCCTTGTTCCTGGAAAAGCCACTCTAATCTCTTCGGACCTCAGTGTCCTCACCCGTCAAAGATGGAAGTTGGAAAAATTGACCTGTAAGCTCCCTTCTTAAGGAAAACTTCCAAGTTTATCTTCTGGGGTTCCCTCAATTTTCTGAGTTGTTCTCACACTGAATCTTTTTCAGTCAACTAAGACGTTATTGATATGGCCTATCCCCAGCCCCACCCAGAATGGGGTCATGGTTCAATCTGATCCAATGTTTAGCTAGACAGTAAGTTTCTTGTACTGGGACAGCTAGATGGTGAAGTAGAAAGAGTGCCAGGCCTAGAGTGAGGAGGATTCATCTTCCTGAGTTCAGATCTGGTCTCAGACTTTTTACTAGTTATGTGACTCTGGGTTAAGTCACTGAACCCCGTTTGCCTCAGTTTACTCTTCTGGAAAATGAGCTGGAGAAGGAAATGGCAAACCACTCCAGTATCTTTGCCAAGAAAATGCCAGATGGGGTCACGAAGACCCAGACAGGACAGAACAAGAAGTTTCTTGGGAAGGTGTGGTTGCTTTTATTGTCACACTTTAAAGATTAGAAATGGACCCATTAGAAATGTGACCACAAAACATTCCATAGCTTCCTTTAGTAACCTATCATAACTTCATAAGCTATGAATTCACGGTATCTAATTATTTCATAAAGTATATGATTCAATCTTAGCAGTTTGGTGAAGTGAAAGATACTGGATCTGGAGTCAGTTACTTGCTACGCTAGTTCTTGGCTAAGTCATTTAACCTCTGTGGATCTCAGTATCCTCAGCTGTAAAAGATGAGGTTGGACATATTGACTTCTAAGGTCCCTTCCACAGATTTAAATCTATGATCTTAGGATCATTGTGGGTAGAGTCTCCACCGAGAAAAATTAAAATCTCTCCATGCCTTTGTAGTTAAGTTTGTGAGCTGTAGTGGCCAAAGAAATTCATCAGCTGATGGCAAACCTCTCCTTTACTCAGGGCTGGTCTTTGGATGACAGACCGTACCACCAAGCAGATACTTGAAGCACCTCTAACTTGGTATTAGGGCCTGCCAAGGCTTAGTTTCCAGTAGCATAGTCTTTAAGAGCCTAGGGCCACCTTCAAGCCACGGTGAGCTTCAGAATAGGAGTTTAGTAAAGATGAATTTACCTCATTCCATCAACTTACTTGCATTTTCACTCTATATCACTTCTTATGGCAATCAGTTCCAGGTATTTATGGCTCACTGCTTAAAGCTGTATTTCATGTATCCTAAATTTATTTCTTTAAAGTTTCAACATGTATTTGCTTCATCTATATGTCATTGACTGTAGTCCTATCATCCCTTAGATCTATGTCCTTCTGATGTGAAGTGTCAGCCTTCTTAGTTAGCATATGAGAGTCTTCTTCTTCCCCTTGGTTTTCATTGTGTATCTCCAGATTTTTTCCCCCTATTTGAGGGACAATGACTAGAATCCCAAGAGCAGATACAGAAATGAGTTATCTGCTTTTTCCCAAATCTTTTCCAGTGATACTTGGGTAGTTGAAAGAACACAAGATCTGGAGCCAGGCATGGTGGCACACACCTGTAATCCCTGCAACTGGCGAGACTGAGGCTGATGGATTGCTTGAGCTTAGGAGTTCCAAGCTAAATTAGGGCAAAAGCTGATTTTGTGATTAGGTATCTACACTGAGTCTGACACCAATTTGGTCAAACTTGAGAAGCCAGGGAGCCACAGAGTTGCCTAAAGAGGAGCAAACTGGTCCAGCTCAGAAAGGGAGTGACAAAACAAAGCTTCTGTGTTTACCAGCAGTTTAACCTGTGAGTACTCTACTTCCAGATTAGTCAAGGTAGACAGACTCGGTCTCCAAAAAATAAAAGAAACCAAAATTTGGAGTAAAAAGACCTACATTTAATCTCAGCACTGCTGCTTATTACTTTTGTGATGTTAGCTGAATCATTTTACTTCTGTGACTCACTATGCTCATCTGTAAAGTGGGTAGGTTGGACAAAGGGATTTCTAAAGTCCCTTTCAATTCTAAATGCCATTAACTTTCTATGTTGTTGTAAGGTGGATTTTAGTGTGTTTAAGAAGGACTTTTGTTATTCTTTTTAGATAATAGGTCCCAGGATCCATGGCCAAAATATATATTTCCCACGAATTATGGTTGAAAACTTCTACTGCGCAGTTGCAGTGAGATATAGGGGTGACATAATGTACACCTGCACAGTGCTAGGTTATGATGACATCACTGAAGTTAATCTGTGAGCTTAATACTGGCAAATTGTCTTCTTTGTCTGTTGCCCCATAAAACAAGTGGGCACTGATTAGTAAGTGGGGAACCCATTTTGGGATTTGGGTAATGCACAGAGGAATTCATGTACCTGCTTTGATTGGCCGCCATCCAGGATTGGGAAGAATCTGTATGTTTGCCTCAACCAGCCCCTATTGAAACTTAGAGGATGCTTGGAGTTATGCTCCTACTCTTGCCCACTCTTGCAAGAACAGTGATTAGGGAATGCTGTAGGAATTATCCATTATCAGCAATCCTCTTGAGAAGACTAGACTAGAATAAAGTAAACTTATTTAATTCCTCCAAAGCTGTCTTCCTCTCCTTCTGGCTGCCCAGATCAAGAGTGAATCTGTTAGGGGCTGGAGCTCAAAAAACTCCAGTGCCTGTCATCTGTCTTACAGTCGCCCAGCATTTTTTGAATTTTTGTTTTCAAACACCACACCAGGCCCATGTTTTCATGGAACAATCTACAATGACTCCTAGACACTCCTGAGTAATAACAACTCCAGTATTAAATTACTTAACAATTGGTCACAGTACTCTGCATATAATAGGAATATATATCAGGAAATACTTGTTGAATCAATTGTTTGCCAACTCATATAATTCAAGAGCTTTTCCTGAAACTTATTCCTCTTAACTTAGCCTTTCATTACTTGGAAAAGTAATCAGCATGGCTATTAAAAATAGTAAAATCTAAAAACAAGTGAAAAATGGTAATTCCTTAAAGTTTCCATATACGTACAAACTTTTGTATATTTCATATACATACATATGTATATATACACACACACACACACAAACTATGGTTTTTATGTACCATTTTATTTCTTATTTTATGTTTATTTGATTAGTTTGCCATTTATTTAACTTATAATAGTACTTTAAAATTCTTGCTATATTTGGTTTTTACATCACCTATATCATGCCCCTTGACTCACTGATTGTGGTGGGGGAGTTAGAAACTTCTTGCTTACCACTGCCACTTTTATCTACAACCATCACTCAATAACCTTTCCTCCTCTGAGGTTCATTCAATCTGTATTTTTCACCCAACTGAGAATCAGGCAGCTGTTATCTACTATCTCTCAGGCTACTTTCCTTCCTTCCTGGATACACTGTCATCTCTAGGTTTTGCTGATACTGCTTTTCTTCCACCACTCTGCTCCCACCCTCCCCTCCCTCCCACTGCTCTGACCATTCCTTCTTAGTCTCCTTTGATCTTTGTCTTTATCCTACTAACTCTGAGCTGTCCTTGGCCCTTTTCTCTTCTTCGCTCCATATTATCTTGTTCAATCTCCTTATCTCCCATGGTTTCTATTATCATCTCTATACATGATTCCTAGATCTATATATCCACCTCCAGTCCTGTACCACCAACTATTACACATGTTGACCTGACTATCCTGTCTCTTTTTTTTTTTTTGGCTAGGCTGTTATGTGTCTGAGGTCGGATTTGAATTCAGGTCCTCCCAAATCCAGGGCCAGTGCTCTATCCACTGCGCCACCTAGCTGCCCTTAACTTGAATATCCTGTAGACATCTAAAACTCAAAATGTCCAAAACAGGGCTCATTATCTTCACCCTACCTCCCCACCCCCACAACATTCCCTTCTTTCAAACTTCCCTATTACTTTTGAGCATCACCATTATCCCTGTCACCACAGTTCACAACTTAGGCGGCATTCTTTACTCCTCAATTTCATTCAACCCATAATCTGGTGCTAAGTCTTTACCACCTATGCTCCAGTTC